CTGTTTTTGTAAGTAATTATTGGTAAATTGTGGTTTTGATGGCATTTATCCCATCTAATAAATGAAATAAAATTTTTCATAATACCTCCTTATTAGTTTTTCAATGTCTGTAGGGTCTGTGGTAATGTCCCCTCTTTTATTCCTATTGTTAGAGATCTGTGTTTTCTGAAACACAAGTGTTTGAAATCAGTCTTGCCAGAGGCTTATTTGTTTTATTAATCTTTTCAAAGAATCACCTTTGATTTCTGCCTTTAGTTTCTGTTATTTCCTTCTATCTACTTACTTTGCATACCATTTAGTATTTTTCTAGCTTTTTAAGATTGAAACTGGATCATTGAGATCTCTCTTCCTTTCTGATAGAAACATTTAAAACTATCAATTTTCCTTTAAACATTGCTCCAGTGCATCCCATAAATTTTGATATTTTAAAGATTTCATTGATGTTTAGTTCAACATATTTTCCAATTTACCTTAAGACTTACTAACTCATGTAAATTTGACCTAGAGGTTATTTAAAAGTGTGTTGCTTGGGGCACCTGGGTGGCTCAGGTGGTTGGGCATCTGCCTTTGGCTCAGGTCATGATCCCCAGGTCCTGGGATCAAGCCCCACATCGGGCTCCCTGCTCAGCGGAGAGCCTGCTTCTCCTTCTCCTCCCCGCTCATGTTCTTTCTCTGCTATCTCAGTCTTTCTCTCTCAAATAAATAAATAAATAAAATATTAAAAAAAAAAAAGAAGTGTGTTGCTTAATTTCCAAGTATTTGGGTACCTTCTAGACATATTATTATTTAAAGTTTGGATAAAAAAGCAAGAACCAACATTATGCTCCTATAAGAGAAGCACTTTATGTATTTTTTTTAAGAGAAGCACTTTAAATGTAAACACACAAATGCATTTAAAATATATATAACGGTGCGCCTGGGTGGCTTAGTCATTGGGCATCTGCCTTCTGCTCGGGTCATGATCCTGGGGTCCTGGGATTGAGCCCCCCATCGGGCTCCCTGCTCTGCGGGAAGCCTGCTTCTCTCTCTCCCACTCCCCCTGCTTGTGTTCCCTCTCTCGCTGTGTCTCTGTCAAATAAATAAATAAAATCTTTTAAAAAAATAATAAAAATAAAAAAATAATAAAATATATATATAACATATAAAACACTGCATAAGACAGCTGGTAGGGTTATATTAATATTAGACAAAGTAGACTTCAAGAAAATAGCTATTACCAGAGATAAGGAGAAATATTTTTAATGAGTCAATTCATCAAAAATATTAACATTAAATCTTGTTATAGCCAGAAAGCATACTCTGTATGATTTAAATACTGTGGAATTTACTAAGCCTTGTCTTATAGCCCTGCATGTGTTGTGTGCCTTGGCAAATGCTTCATGTTCACTTGAAAAAAATGTGTCTTCGGCTGTTGATAATGTTTAGGTCAAGTTGATAATGTTTAATTCTTCCATATCCTTATTGATTTTTTGATAGTTTTCTTAATGTTCTGTTTATTACTGAGAGGGGGTATTAAAATTTCCAAGAATTACTGTGAATTAGTTAATTTCTCCTTTTAAAAAGTTCTGTCCATTTTTGCTTCATATAGTTTGAAGCTCTGTTATTATGTACATGCATATTTAGGATTGTATGTCATTACTAAACATCCCCTTTTATCTCTATAACAGTCTTTTTGTTTTTTTAAGTCTACTTTGTTACTAAATAACAAAAATTCAACTGAGTAAATTTTAAAAATCTACTTGGCTTTATTAACCAATTCACAAATTGGGCAGCATCCCATCTAGAAAGTAGAGAGGAGCTCCAAAGGGCTATAGAAAGAAAAAGGTTTTTAAAGGTAAAGAAAGAGTGGAAAAAAGGAAATTATTAGCAAAGAATCCATTGTTTTAGGCAAGGTTGCCCTCCTAAGGGGAACTGAAGGGGCCTCTCAATAAAGTCCCTAGTGCTGACCAGGAAATTCTCGTGTTGACTGGTTAAAGGTTACATTTCTGGGGGGGTTAAAACTGCAGTTATGTTAGGTATTAAGTTTTGTTTTACTGACTTGGGGCCTTAACCTAAGTGATGCCATTTTAGGCCTGTGGTTTTGTTTTTAACATTATTAATATAGCTCCACCAGTTTTCTCATGTGGCATTTGTATAATATCTCTTTTTATTTCAATATAGTTGTATCTTTATATTTAAAGTGCTCCTCTTATAAACAGTATATGGTTGGGTCTTGCTTTTTCATACAAATTGACAATCTTTGTCTTTTAATTGGATTCCGTTTACATTTAATGTAATTATTGATATAGTTGGGTTTAAATATGCCATCCTAATATTTGTTTTCTTACTGTCCTTTTTGATTTTAGTTCCTCTGTGCTTCCTTTCCTGCCTTCTTTTGGGTGATTGGAATATTTTTAGCTATACTTATTTGTTTTATTTCAAATAAAAATACTACTTCTTCATACAGTTTCACTATGCAAATAATATCTTAATTAAACTTATATTCAAGTTAGGGTATGCCAAAAGAGTTAAGAGAGGGTACATAAAGAGAGTGGAAGAATCTGGTGGCAGAAATCAACTTTCTGTACCAGAATTCTGTTTGGGGTTGACCCTGCTCATCTTTTCTTTTCCCATCACAAAATGGAACCATGACCTAGTAGACATTAAGCTAACATGATAGTCATAACATCTCATTTTCCTCCACCATTCAGCAGAGGAGGAACAACAAACAAGAAACAAGAGATCTGCACTAGCTATTGAGTGTTTCATTTTTCATCACACACTTTTAAATCATTGTAATAGATGTAACTGCGTTGCTGCCTATATACTGTCACACTCTTCTGTCACTTCCTTCTTCTACACTGTAAGGATCTTATGAGCCACCCTGAAAAATATGAAGTAGTTTCCTTCTAATTAAATTTATGTCAGATAAGTATTATTTTTGTATTATCAATCAATTAATTCACAAGCAGCTTGGTGCTGCCCTCAGAAGCTTGCAATTTAGTTGAGAAGACATTTATATAATTTTATGATGTATTTTTCTATACTGTATTTATTATATAAATGTATCATATTTATATACTAAAAAAGACAAGGAGGAGTGCAAGGCTGTGTGTGACTGTTACAGATAATAAATGAGGTAAGATGTTTTTGTTAGAAAAACAGCTGCCTAAACAGCTGCCTATGGAGATTTTTGATCATTTATAGTGAGAGAAACTTGTATCTTCTTTTTCCCTGTCTTCCTCTTCTCTATATGGGTAGGTATAGATAAGTATCACATGACTATTTGGAGATTAAAATTTCATTTTGATTTGGCTTTCCTGGGTGGAAAACATTTACTTCATTTTGCACTTTTGAGCATGAATTGTCTCTCTTTCTAGGTATAATCAGTTTCTACTCTTCAGTATACAGATATTATGAATAATATTCAGTGCAGAAAGAGCTCTAAAAATAATTGTGCAGGTAGGGTTTTGTTAAGAGTCTTACATGGAACACAGGCAGGAGATAAGAACAAAGGCACATCAGAGGAAAGGGAGTGGTAGGCAGAGCATTTAATCTCATCTGCCTCCACCAAAGAGCTTGCATTTAGCAGAGAAGGAACAACAAACAAGAAACAGGAGATCTGCACTAGGTATTGAGTGTTTCGTTTCTCATCACTGTTAGTCACATTTGCATGGAACCATTACGGTCTTTTTGGTGTATAATTAAGCCTTTTTTTTTTTCCTCCAAAAGGAAAATCTTGAATTTTATGTTTAAAAACACAGTGAGATGTTTTTGACATTCTGCAGTTCATTTTGGAAATCACCGTCTTAAAATCCATTGCCTTTCAGTAAGTTGGTAAAGGATGTACAATACATGTCATTTTTACACAAAATAGTACCTTAGATAGTCTCCAGTGTGTATAATATATACACACCTTTTAGCATCTGTTTCTACCAGACAGCTTGCAGCATTAGGCTGAATGTTGTGATGAACAACTGAATGGGGATGAAATGCTAAGCAGTCTTACAATGGATTTTTATTAGAAAAAGTAAGCTCTTCAGAGCTTCTTATTGATACTTTTCCATAAAGATGGTAAGCCAACATATTTGTACATAATTAAGGTGACATACTCTTTAAATGTTTAAGTTCTTCCAGAAATGGGGATGAACTTGACTAACCAGCTGATGATTCTCCTCTTGAGCTAGGATTGTATATTTTTTGTACGGGGAAATCTATTTTTACGAATGTATTACTAACTATTCTTACAAATACATGTATACAGGGTTGTTAGAATTAAGAATTGCTGGGATCATATCTTCAGTATTTACTTATTATTTGACTAAATTTTATTCTATTCAGCTCAGCCCAGAGAAGGAGATTTAATAGATTTGTTTTCTTATTCTGCTGCTACTGTACTTGGGTTTTTGGTCTAGTGGTCATAAAATATTCCCAAGAAATATGTTCACTTAGAATTCCCAAACCAAAATAATAAAATCACTTAAAAAAAACTTTTAATACACAAAATTCAGATTCTAGGCTGACATGCTTTGGCTATGTGATAAAAATTAAATGAACAAATACCAAACAAAGCAAAGTTGGCCAAAGCTGTGACTTATGAGGAATGTCAGCCAATGGTACACACTCTAAATATTCTTTTTCCTTCTCTTGGCCTGAAAATACTTCAGGACAGAAGCTATCATGCCCAACTTTCATTTAAAAATGTTTAGTTTTCAGGGTGCCTGGGTGGCTCAGTCATTAAGCGTCTGCCTTCGGCTCAGGTCATGATCTCAGGGTCCTGGGATCGAGCCCCGCGTCAGGCTCTATGCTTCTCCCTCTCCCACTCCCCCTGCTTGTGTTCCCTCTCTTGCTGTGTCTCTCTCTGTCAAATAAATAAATAAATCTTTAAAAAAAATAAAAATGTTTAGTTTTCCTGTCTTTTCTCAGGTTGTAAACCTTTTGGACCAGTTTTTGGCTATTTGATAAATAATACACTGTATAATCCATATTGACTAATTAATCATTTGTAACTTTCCAGGTACTGATTAAGATGTATGTGATTTGGAGGAATTCTGTTTCCTGTCTAAGGATAAGAAAGGTGCTACGTAGATTCCAAAGTGGTAATCACCCAGTTGTCCCTCTGGGATCAAGGATTTTGACGGACCCAGCCAAAGTTTTTGAACACAACATGTGGTGAGTTATGTTCGACGTCTAATGTTATATATGTATCTGAAACATTAACAGTGGTATTATTTTCACTTAGAGCCAAGAAGGGATTTTTAAAGTTAGTCAGTGTTGTTGAGGTCCAAAAGACAGGGTAACTGATCCTAACTTAAATGTTGCCAATTCTGAATTTCTTTGCAAATGAAATTGATAAAATGACTCTTTCCAAGTGCTTTCCTCAGCTTTGGGGTTCTTGCAGACCCTCCCTGCTCACCTCTGGTCCTGGTTTGTCAGCATATTTTGGGAAGGGAGGCTCTTTTCTAGATAGAGTCCTCCTCCTGCTCTGCAGGCCCTTCCACCTTTTACAAGTACTTGTCCATCAGCAAATGTGTATTCAGTACCTGCTGCTTACTGAGACCAAGGAAAATACACTGGTATGACCCTAGTCTATGCTTTCAGGAAATCTGTCCTCTATTTGGAAAGATAGATATTTATAGGAAAAATTGAAAATTAGCAATGCATGGCAGCAAATTGTAAGGGCACAATGTGTTCTTATAAGGCATGTACACTGTATATCTTATAAGAACAACTCAACAGGGGCGCCTGGGTGGCTCAGTCGTTAAGCATCTGCCTTCGGCTCAGGTCATGATCCCGGGGTCCTGGGATTGAGCTCCGCATCAGGCTCCCTGCTCCACGAGAAGCCTGCTTCTCCCTCTCCCACTCCCCCTCCCTCTCTCGCTGTGTCTCTCTCTGTCAAATAAGTAAAATCTTAAAAAAAAAAAAAAAAACAACTCAACAGTGCAGAACCATTTCTGTTTTGACATAAGAAGATTTCTTTTTTTTTCTTTTTTCAGTTTCCATTTTTTTGACATATAATTGATATATAAAGGAAAATTTCTTTAGGTGGAGAAATTGGGATCAGGATTATTCTGTCTTCAGTATATAGTACAGTGCCTGACACATAAATATTTGTGAAGTAATGACTTGGATAGTTAGCTGGAGTAAGGGCATTCTTGGTGGGTAGAAAGTCATAAGACACAGAGATAAAGAAGTATAAGGCATATGCAGAGGACCATGAACAGGATAGTTTGCCTAAAATAAAGACTTTCCTAGGAAATTTATAAATGATAAAGTTGGAATGATACAGGTCAGGTATGGGGGTGGGGACAAGATAGTGTGAATTCCTGAATTCGCAGCTAAAGTGGAAGGCATTATAGAGCCACTGAAGAGAAATGACATTATACATGGGCTATTAAGTACTGTGTTTGTATCTGGTGACAGTGTACTAACTAGACAGATCAGCAGGTAGAACTAGAAGCAGGAAAGTGCCAATGAGAGAGATTTTGAAGGAAGAATAAATAGAACTTGATGCTTTTGTAGAAAGGAAAAGGAAACATTTGGCTATGAAGTTTTGATCCTAGATGACTAATGGAAACTTATTAATTAGTTCCACATTATACAATATGTGGCCACTAGCCAGATGTGGTTCTTGAGCACTTGAAACCTGATTAGTCTGAATTGAGATGTGCTGTATCATTTTGAAGACTTAGTACAGGCTCTCTCAGCCTTAGCGCCATCTTCTTGGAAACATCTGCACCACCATTAGAGCCAAGTGGAGGAAGAAGCAAGTGTGTAGGTGGAAGCATAAGAGAAGAAAGATGAGGCAGAGGTCCAAGTAGACACTAGCTTGTGCACCCATTGAAGCCACAGGAGCAGAAATAAGGAAAGGCAGAGGCCAGGGATGCTGGTACCAATTATTGAACTGCATATCTACTTTCTAGAACATCCATCTCCATCTGATCTCAAGGACCCCTTTGAGAGACCCACCTTGCTCATACCAAAACATTCCCTTTTCGTCTTTTGCCCTGGACCTGTGACTTTCAAGACTAATCCTGTTTTCATTTGTGTGAATATAACACATGTACAATAAATCATCTCTTCTGTCTTAGCTGAAAAAAAAAGACAGTACAAAAAGAAAAGGTAAAATACATTATTAACAATTTTTATACTGAACTGCATGTTGATATTTTTTTGGACATATTAAAATATATTATTAAAATTTCATTTCTTTTAGTTTTTTTAAACATGGATACTAGAAGGTTTTAAATTACATCTGTGGCTGACATTATACTTTGTCGGACAGTTGCTGAATTAAACTACTTTGCCTGCCATCACCAATATGGACAGTTGCAGTAGGCTGTGAGATCATTGCCAAGCAATTAAACCTCCACAGGAACTTCTGGTCCTAGACAAGCTATTTGTTTACCAATTTTTTATTCTTCATTAGAGTCTAGTGAGTTAGCAGTCTGAGTTCTCTTTTTCTGTCTGCTACCATCAACTCTTTTGTTTAAGGTTCCTGCCTATCCATTTAAGTTCTGTTTTGTCATAGGCTCTCAGGGAAGCAAGGGTCCTCTGGGTCAATGCCCCTCAAGCAGTGTGGGCTAGCTTTGGGATGCTGAATCCCTTGGGGAGTTATTATTTCACTATGTCTAGAGGTATGGCCCAGGAATTTGTAATTTGAAAAAGCTCTTTTAGTAATTCTGTTGAGCAGCCAGGTTTAGGACCCTTTGGTGTTTTTCAAACTTTCCTTTAGCAGTAGAATTTTTTTCCAAGTGAAGTCCTAACATGGAATCCCAATATTTAAAAGGTAAAAACAAACCTCATCTTAATGAAGCAAGTAGAGAGGCCTGGGGCATCAATAGCTCCGCCTCCCATTTCTCCCCTCACCCTCTCACTGTAGCAGCCTCATGGATTTTTAGGGTTCTGTTGATCAAAGTTTGAAAAACCTTGATCTAGTCTTAATAGCTATCCTCCTCCACAGCATACCCCCTGAAAGGGTACACAGCCTGTACCGGGATTCTTGTAGTGGACTCTCTCCAGAGGCAGATTCATACTGTAATTATAAAAATAATTTCCTCCAAACGAAGAGCAAAGTATTTGCTTCCTGTCATCTCCTTATGCACCTGTTGTTTTGTTTTTTGTTTTTGTTTTTTGGGGGGTATTTTGGGTTTTGTTTGTTTGCTTTCTTTAAAGAGAAGATTCATAAGTTAAACTGAAAACCAGAAGACTGGTTGACTTTCCCCTTCCTTCAAGTCCAAAGTTCTATCTAAAAGTTCTGACTTCCTTATTTTCTCCTTTGTATTTAAGAAGAATGTTTCCTCTCTTGCTGAATTTTGATTTTTAAAAGATGTACCTGTCAGTTTTCTCTCAGAGATGTATAATTGTCTACAGTTTATTTTTCTGTTTAGCCTCTAGTTCAGTTAGTACTATTTCTATGTGACCCTCTTTTTAATAAAAATATTTTTGAGGAAAAAATAAAGGTATCCATTTTTTATTCAGTTTCTAGTATCTTGAGAAAGAATTGCCCTCCAGATTCTGTATATTTGTGTTACTAGTATTTACATCTCCCTATAGTCTTATTTTTTAATAATTTAGTGAAGTGAATTTCACATAACATAAAAGTAACTGTTTTAAAGTGAACAGTTCAGTGGCATTAATTACATTCATGATTTTATGCAACTAGCACCTCTGTCTCGTTCCAAAATATTTCCATCAATCCCAAGTAAAGTCCCTTACCCATTAAGCGGTTTATCTTCATACTCCCATTCCCCTGGCCCCTGGCAATCACCAGTCTGTGTGCTAGCTCCATGGATTCACCTCTTCTGGGTATTTCATATAAAAGGGATCATACAGTATGTGACCTTTTATGTCTGGCTTCTTTCACTTAGCATAATGTCTTGGAGGTTCATCCACATTGTAGCATGTGTCATTACTTCATTTCTTTTTATGACTGAATAATATCCTATTGTATGTATATACCACAACTGGTTTATCCATTCATCCACTGAAGGACATTGGGGCTATTTCCACCTTTGGCTCTTGTGAATAGAGCTGCTGTGAACATGCATGTACATGTACTTGTTTGAGTCCTTGTTTTCAATTCTTTGAGGTATATACCTAGGAATGGAATTTCAGGGTCATATGATAATTCTGTGTTAACTTTTTGAGGAATTTGCCAAGCTCTTTTCCACAGTGACCAAAACATTTTACATTCAGTTTACAGTCCTTTAATTATACTTAGCAAAATTTTTAATTTGGGGGGGCACTGACATGAAACTATATTCAGAATGCTTTTGAGACATGGCCCAGAGATCTGTCTATTTTGAGCAAATTACAGTTATTTGGAAAAATCATTCCTTATTTCACACTGTTCCTGGTTTATGTGTGTAGTAATTTTTCAGAAGATCCCTGAAATTTATAAGGAATAATAAGCACTTAGATAATTGTATGACTAAATCAGCTAGGCCAGTGGCTTTCAAGCTTTTTAGCATGATCCACAGTAAGAAGTACAGTTTACATCATGGACCAGTACATGTACACATAACATATGCACATATATGAAACAGGAACAAAAGCTTCTTGTACAGTTTTACCATGTGAGACATTCACTGATCATTTCCGTTTGTTCTATTCTACTCCATTTCTGTTTCTTCCTCATTTTAAGTGTTGGTTAAATTTTTTTTTTTAAAGATTTTATTTATTTATTTGAGATAGCGAGAGATAGAGCACGAGCAGGGGAGAGAGGGAGAAGCAGGCTCCCTGCTGAGCAAGGAGCCCAATGCGGGGCTCAATCTCAGGATCCTGGAATCATGACCTAAGCTGAAGGCAGACACTTAACCAACTGAGCCACCTAGGTGCCCCTAAGTGTTGGTTAGATTAACGAAGCTGACTGCATGACTCACTAAAAGGATCGTGACCTTTAGTTTAAAAAATACTGTGCTAAACCATTCTCTGTAGATCCAAGATAGGACTTGTATGCTGCAACATGACCTCCTATTATATAACCCATTTAAATAATGGACTGTTTACAGAATTCCAATACAGTTTACCTATCAAGGTATCTTTCTTATTATATGGTCTGAATTTTCCTTATATGTATATTATCTGATTCCTCTTGTTTCATACATAGTCCTTTAATACAGTTAATAAGTATTTTCGTTATCTGTCTCCATTACAACATTTGTCATGAG